ACACTGAGGGTTGCGATCCGTTGCCGGACACGGAAAAAAGACAAAAAAAAAAAAGTACAGCTGAAAAATAATAATGAAAAAGAAATACAATTTAAAAAAAAGACTTAACATCTACAAGCTAGGATAAAGAAAGTAAGTAAATTATGAAACAATACAAAATGTCGGAAGTTAGTGGTCTTCAAAGCAAAATGAAAACAATATATATTTGAAAGGGTGACTGAAAACACCTTACTTATCAATAAAAATATAGAAAGATAGGTGCTATGAGATTACCTGGATCTGTGCCCTATTGCCAGCTGTGATATTAGATATTGTCCAGCATGCTTCCTTTTTGATAGATTCCTTTGGGCTACTCAGCAAATGCAATAAACTCTGCAGAGCTGAGCAATTCAAAATTACCTAAAAGGAAAAGTTTGAAAACTTTCTTACTGTATTGTTTCAAGTAAATCTTTAATTCAAAGAACTTATTTTAGGAAAAATATGGGCAAAGAAATACTTTAACATCTCCCCTTGGAATTTTACAAATAAGTAAATTTACATACATAAAAAAGTATTCACTATTAATAAGAATTAGTTTCTTAGATTATCAAACCAGTTTCACTGAACACATTCACAACTGCTAAGACACTATAATGTCAGTATTTATTCACCTTCCTATCCCTACAGCATAAGTCTTCTGGATGGATAAATATATCAAGCGGCCAGAAAATCAGAAATAGATCAGATTTTTAAGTCTTCTGATAACTCTCTACCTGGTAGTCAATGAACCAATACATGCTTAATGAGGGACATCAGGTGCTTCATTAAGCATGTAATATGTGTATATTATAGGATATAAATATAAAAAAGATATGATCTCAGTTATCAAACAACTTACAAAGGTGAGGGATGTAAGACAACTACCCATAAAGGAGACCTACTCTACCAAAAACTAAAATCAGAAAGTTAGAATAATTAAAATAGTATTTGGCAGACTCAAGAATCAATCACTGAACAACAGAATAGATATCTAGTCCCGAAACAAATGCAGCTATTTATAAAGAATTAAGTATGTAATAAAAGTTAATGCTTTCTTTTCTCTAGTGATTGATGGTTTTATTTAATAGTTAGTACTAAAAGAAGAAGCTAAATAGTTGAAAAACATTTTTTCAAAATCAATTCTTAACCTAAACAGTTACCAAAATAAATTTGCAACCAAATAAAAAAAAATATTAAAAAAAAAACCTTTAATAAAACAGAATATCAGAAAATAGCTGATCTGGGGATGGTGAAAGAATTTCCAACCATAAAAACAACAAAATTATAGGAGGAAAATAAAAATTTTTTCATGTCAAAAATTCTTAGAAAATTAAAATGCACATCACACAAATGTGAAAGAGCATTTGCAACAAGTAAGAAGGTTGCTATATTTATTATGTAAATTGAAAGAGAAACTAAAATTTTAATAGGAAATTATCTCACAAGAAAAGAAATGCTAATTAAAATGGAGCCATATTTTGCCTATTAAACATGCTTCAAAAAAGAATAAAACCTGTCGTTAAACAGGTATAATCTTTCTCAAAACAATCTGTCATAAATATCAAGAAGCTTTAACAATCCACAATTTTATACAAATATTCTACCTCGCGGATTTCTGCCCAGAGGAAATTATAAAGATTATAACAGAACGTTAAGTGAACACTATGAAAAGAGCAGTATAGGGCTGGCTAGGTAGCTCAGTTGGTTAGAAGGTGGTGCTGATAACACCAAGGTCAAGGGTTCAGATCCCCATACCGGCCAGCTGCCACAAAAAAAAAAAAGAAAGAAAAAAAAAGAGCAATACAGCAATACAACTATAAATATAAACAGAAAAAAAGACAAGAAGGAAATACAGTAAATCGTTAATATTGATAATATCCCTAGATAGTGGAGCTTTGGGTGACTTTTATATTCTCCACATTTTCTTGCACTTGCTGTTATAGAACAAAAAAATGCTATTCTTATAGTTGAAGAGAAAACAAACCTGAAAAAAAAGATAAGCAATATAAGAGATGTGTCACATGGCAATTTTAAAAATGCCAAAGTGGTCTGGAAAATAAACATGTCAGAAATTAAAAAGAATACTTGGAGAGAAATAGTTAAGAAAAAACTTCATGGAGGGGCCTTGAAACACAGGTAGGATTTCATAAGCAAAGAAGAGGGAGGACAATGCACAAAGACTGGAAAAGAAAAAATGCAGACAGGCTACTATGAAGTACCATAAGAACATAAGGCTATTAAGGAAGGGCTGTATACCCCCAAAATTAATAGGCTAGAAAGAATGAGAGTCAAATCTTAAAGCATAAATTCCTCAGAGTGTTTCAAGGTTCTTTATCTAATAGGCACTAAAACATGTGAACAAGGTTATTTTAGGAAACCTTAAGCTGTAAGGAGGGAGTATATTTAGATGGATAACTGCGTGAATATAGGAAGACAATTTGGGTGGGTACAGTAACAACTTTTGTGTGTGAAAAGACAGGAACCCAAATAAGGTGATCTGATATGTATCTAGTAATCCAAAACAATAAGAATCAAGGAGACCTGATGACTTTTAAACACAGTGCGAGACAAAAAGACAACAAATACAACTGTAAAGTTTCATGTATGGGTGAACAGGAAAGCAGTTGTATCATTAAGTCAAATAAGAAAAAAAAAAATCAAGATTTGGAATTTGTTTTTTGGAGGAAAGAAGATAAACTGTGAGACAATTGTGAGATATGCAAGCAGAAATATTTAAGGCCACTGGAGACATGGTACTAGAACCTGAGAGAGGTCAGGACTAGATGTATAGATTCAGAACTTCATTCCATTCAATGAATATATTTTGAGTCCCTATATATTGTGCCAAGAACTATTATATAGGCACAGAAATGAACAAGATTGACAAAGTCCACCTCTAGAATCTTACAACCTGGTAATTAGACAGTTACAATACAGTATGATAAGCTGTGATGGATGAAATAAAAGAGAAATTTTATGCAAATACAATCAAACATATATATTTTCTTCTCCTCTCCTCATTTGAGATTGCTAAACTAAGCACTGCAAAGGATGAGTAGAGATGAACAGATGAGTGAGGTAGAGGAGAGGGAAGACTCAAGCTGATGTCCAGGTTTCTGGCTTGGGCAACTATTGGTGCCATTCACTGAGATGGCGACATAAGCAGAGATGCAGATATACATGGAGAAATGATTTCCCTTGTGGACAGAATAAATTTAATGTAAACACATTAGAGTTAGAAGACACCTGGGAGAACAAATCCAACCTCCTTAATTATAGAAATTGGAAAAGTGAAGACATTAAATGTCTTGCTGAAAGTCAGAGCTGGTTAAGAAAGAGCTAAGGCTAAAAGCTAATTCCCAATTCTTAATCCATGTACACAAGAGTGATTGTTGAAGTTAGAAATAAGATCTATGAATAAGGCTGAAGGACTGCCCCCTGGAGGATGTTCACAAATAGGAGGAAAACAGGAAAAGTAGCTTGTTAAGGAGAAATAAATGGCCAATGAGGCAGAACCAAAATACTTCAACATCATAGAAGCCTAGGAAGATAACTGAAGACGTTATCAATGCATCTGAGCTATCAGGAAGAAAAATGGCTAGAACAGTCCACTGTGAATGATGAGTCTTGATACAGAAGTTGAATGGAGAAGGGGGTGACATTAGGAACTAGGAGTGAAGAATCTTCCTCACATAGAAGACTTACCATGTACAAAAACAGGAAGCTATCAGAGAAGAAGAGATTAAGATGACAGAGAAAGAGAAAAGATGCTACTAGAGGCTTCTGATACTCACAAAAACCATTTCATGTAGGAGTAGAGGGAAACAAATCTGCGTGACCAGAAGAAAAAGTCATTATCATAGGGGGACCCAAATCGCTACAAGCAACAAGTCAAGGCAGAGATACTAAAGGTACTGAGAGTAGATGCCTAAGCCAACATTTTAAACAGACATCAGTGAAACAAAGTGTTAACTCCCCATAATACAGACTTTCTATAAGTCCATAAAATGGACTTTCTATGTAAATTCTATAACAAACATGATCATGGAGTTCAATGTACTGCTTCTGAAGGAAAAAAAATAGTTACCACTTGTTCATACCTGTGTCTGAATATCATCACCTGTGACAATGTTTCCCACAGCCCGCAAAGCAGGAGAAACCACTTTATAATCATTATGCCTGCAACCATAAAAAGAAATGTTATAGCAAACAGTTCTGTCCTTAGTCTCTTTTTGTTAGGACAAAAATCCAAAAGAAATAATATGTGATAGGATTTTAGAGCAGAAAGATACCTATGGTGGTTTTTAAGGGACCCCGTCATGATGCTGGAATGTTTGGTGTCCCCTATAAAAGATGTCTTTCCCCTTATTTATTATTCATAGAGAAACACTACAAATCTTTCTTAGCTATTTTTCCCAAATATTCCTAACACCTGGTTCCAAGTTTTCCCTCTCATTCTTTAATATAGGTTTCATTTCCTCTTTACTTGGTCTTCTATGGTGGCTGAGATAATGGAGAACAGGTAAGCTTTATACAACACTTTTAAATTTTACAAATTATCTAATTTCACAGAGGTGAAAATGACACATCAACAGTTAACTTGAAAGTGAAAGTCAGATTCACATTTCAGATACTGAACTCTTTCTACTAACCTTAGTAAGTTGCCTTACTGGTTAAGAAAACCACACACAGAGCCTTTTTTATGTATTTGAAGACAGATATTAAGTCCTGATTTCAGGCTAAATAAGTCAATATCCTTTAACCTTCTCCAAAGGTCCTATTTTCTCTCCCCTTTAATAAGAATGATTGTTCTTCTCAAAACCATGCCAATTCCTTCAAATTTATTTTAAGATAAGATAACTAAGAAGAAATGGTTAAAATATATAGCAATCTAGTGACTAAAGAATACAGAGGATTATATTCCAGATTTTGAATGATATACGTCTGACTCTGCAGCATCGTATTGTTTTTAGTTCACAATAGCACTACATTACTGATCTGCATCCAGTCTGTGGCCAGCTATAATTCCAGAGTTTTTTGTATTATGTACATTATACTTATTTAATCCATTTCATATGTCACATTTGGAACAATGTCTCCTTGCATCTACTTTGTGCTTCAATTAAATTTCACATTGCTTGTAATTGTACCATTTTCCCATTATGTTGTCACTCTAATTTTTTCTTCTACAGTGTTATCTAAAAATTTGATTAGCACAGTCTCAAATTATTCCATGAGTAAATCCTCCAATCCATCAAAGGAATTACACAAAGAGATAGAGTAAAATAAGATTCAGTGTCTGACACTAGTCTAGATTAAGCTCTAAACGAGACAGACAGAGTGACCATTTTTAGTGGAAATATGCCTTTTGATGTCCAATGGTTTGATCTCAGGAAATCCAATATGAACTGGAACTAAACAGATCAGAGTTTCCTAAATGTTTTGCTGAATGACTGCTAACAGCAGAGGTGGAAAAGGTTCTTTATAAGCCTCAAAAACAAAAAGATTTGACATCAACATAAATAGACAAGTAACAAAAGACTGTAGTCCAAAGCACAATAAATCAATATAATGTAAAATCAACTAATATTTAAGTATTAGCAACTAGGAAACTAATATAGGAGGAAAAAAGCAGACACTTTCTTAAAGATATCTTACATCAGTAGTTCCACAAGTCTCCTACATACTCCTGCATCAATGACTGCTTGAATTTTATCATTGGGTCCATCTGATAGATATGAGAGGGCCCAGCAGGCATCTGCCAATACATCAGTGTCACTGACAAACAGCAACCAGGAAAGCACATTCAGACAGGGGGAAACCTGTAAAAGAAAGTTGGTATAATTATGAAATACAACAGAATAAAGGCCAGAAGTGAGGTGAGATACTCAAGAAGGCAAGCAAACACACACTTGGCAACTTGTAGGGTGATTTACACTTCTAGAGATGGAATAGAAAGTGGCTAAGTGACATTTCCATCTTTGAGAATGCCGTTAGTGTCCTTGCAGTTTACTTTGATGGGGTAGTCAGAGCCCAAGGAAAATAATTTCAGGAGCAAAGTTTTATATACATCAATTCTTAGACTGAGATTCCTTGTCAAAAGACATACTTTGTAGGGCCGAGCCCGTGGCGCACTCGGGAGAGTGCAGCACTGGGAGCACAGCAGTGCTCCCGCCGCAGGTTTGGATCCTATATAGGGATGACCGGTGTGCTCACAGCGCTCACTGGCTGAGCACGGTGCGGCCGGTCTCAAAAAAGGACGAAAAAAACCAAACAGAAAACAAAAAGACATACTTTGTAGACCAAAGAGGTAAAGGAACTTTCACAAATGCCAAAGCTAGGAAATTCTATATTTTAGATACTTTGTTACAAACAAAAAAATGCTAAGGTTTTAAGATGAAATTGGAACTTTTTATAGGCAGTGAAAAATGATCCCAAATTAAAACAAAAACTACAAAAAACCTCTATTTCTTTTTCTTTTTCTTTTTTTTTTTTGTGAGATCGGCCGCACCGCGCTCAGCCAGTGAGCACACAGGCCATCCCTATATAGGATCCGAACCTGCGGCGCGCCGCACTCTCCCGAGTGCACCACAGGCTCGGCCCAAAACCTCTATTTCTTTACAAATAGAGAAAATTCTAACATTTTAAATTTTATCAAAATTATCTTTCTGTCCACATTAACATTGATTGCTATACTCTCTTAATTGCATTTTTGTGGCCAATTTTCCACAAACATAGTCCTTACCTTTGCAAATTCTGGAGGTGGACTTTTCCCTCTACAGAGATTAGACAAAGCCCATACTGCATTCCGGGTCATGGTTAGGCGGTTTTGCTTTGAAAATAACCTACAAGCATGATGGTACAATGGTAAACTACCCAACAGACAATTAATTCTCTAATGGCATAAGATAAATACTAAACTATTTAATGCTACTGACAAACAGATGTCTTCAAATAGCTTCTCTCCAGGGCAATAAAATTCATTAATTCTAATGTAACTAATTCAGAATTTTGGCCCTGGAATAAATATGGTGCTTGAAGAAACGATCTGAATAAGTTAACAACAAACTACCTGGAATGAAAAATAATAGTTGGAAACCCAAAATAATTCCTGATATGTACTGCTTTCTGAGGAACTTTCCATGTTTTTATTACTCAAAAGAAAAAAAAGAAACTTACTGCAAAAGAGGGGGAAGGATATTGCAGTCTAAGACATAGTCCCTGCACATGGTACTGTCTCCAGCAATGTTGCCAAGAGCCCAGACTGCCTGTAAAAGAATTATTCACTAATGACTGTTGTACAGTTTCATTCCCTCACAGTTCTTTCAAAAAAGATGCCGGCATATCACAATAACACTTTACAAAATTATATCACTATTAATCATATATTATATATGGACATTAACTATTAACACTCCTAAATTCATTCATCAGGGAGTCAAATGAAATAGTTATAGGATTGGAGAGAAGTAAATAATATTTCAAAGTGTACAATAAACAGAAGAAAACATGAACACTCATGGTAGTAAGCTTATTGAAGGAAGGAACCAATTCTTATACTCTTTATCTTAGGAGACTCCATCCTCACCCCTATGTAACATCCCATACAGCCCCTGGTACAGAACAGAGATTCAAATGGCTTAATCAGCTGGTTAAAATTGTATTAAGCAATCAAAATGTGTACAACTTCACTAAATTTTTTTGGTGGGGGGTGACAAATATAATTATCTTGATTGTGATGATGGCACGGGTATATAAGTATGTCAAAACTTATCAAATTGTACACTTTAAAGATATGCAGTTTATTGTATATCAATAATACCTCAATAAACTGTAAATTATACTCATTTAGCAGTGATTTACCCTTTATAAATTTGATAAAAATTCACAGTAATAAAAAGATTCATGTTTTCTGTTTTTTCTGCACAAAAGTGGGAAAGACCTTTTACTTCAATCAGTAGAGATTCCTACACAAAAAGCTCTATCAGTAACTGCTTATGTGGTATAAAAAAGGGTATCTATAGGACTTAAAGAATTTCAGGGTTAGAAGGGAAATGTGATTTTTTCATGTCTAGAAGAAATTCTGCCTACAGTCACTAAGAAACTTTCTAATTGGTTAGGTTTAGATTTCTAGAACATTCCCTGTGACAAACCATGGGTTATCACAGCCAAGTGGTGAAAAGCGTGCCCTGAATATGACTGACAAGAAAAGTTTATTCTTTCATCTGCTTCTCTTTATTTATTTTTTTACCTGTTCCTGGACATCTTCAAACTCTGAGCTGAGTAACTCTATGAAGATGGGCACAGCTCCTGCCTGGATCACAATCCGGGTTTGAAGAGAATTTCCTGAAGCAATATTTGTCAGTACCCAAGCTGATTCAAACTATAAAGATAAAAATAATTTTCATTATCTTATTAGAATTTAAAAGCTTGTTTACTTATAACAAAGTTTTCTGTACATGAAGAAAAGAGTCTGAGATCATTATTTGCATATAACCTATCAGTTGAATACTATATTAACTTTAAAAGAAGAGTTCCCAGAAGAAATACGTCAGCTTAGAGAAATACTCAGGGTGTCTAAAATTTCAGATCAAGGTAGAGCTGGCATGAGATCATAAAAAGAATGAAGGAATGTTTCATATGCTGATAAGGAATAATCTCCCAAGATATAAAATTTTAAAAACCCAAAATGCAAAAAACTGTACATTTATACAGTATCATATTATATTTTCTACAAGGGTTAAAAAGGAATATATGCGTGAATTTACTTATTGCACAGATTATTTCTGGAAGGAGTCATGAGAAATTGTAAATACTTGTTGCCTACATGGAGAGGTCTGGATGACTGAGCAACAAGGATGGGAAAGACACTTCACTGGAAAGTCTTATGTACCTTTTGGCCTTGTACCATGTATATTACCTAGTAAAGAATAAAATTAAGTAATATTTATAGGATGGGCAAAGTGAAATGGGGAAAGGATGTTAGTGTAAAATGTATAAAATATAAGCACAGTGAAAAAGGCAAAACATATTTTAAATGTTAATTAAGTCAAAAGGAGTTAACAGACATACAGTTAATAGAAATGACAACTTCAGAGCATAAGAGTTTTCAATAAATGAGAAGCCTCCAAACGAAGGAAAAAAGATAAGACTTTTTTAGAAGAGCATTCTTTTTTTTTTTTTCCTTTTTGTCTTTTTTCGTGTCCGGCAACGGATCGCA